TCTAAAATAATAAAGAACTGCAGATGACAATTCGCTCCTGCCAAGCGATTCAACTATAGCGAAATCCAAACTTTGAACCAATATATGGGGGGAAGTCTATGTTTAGTAGTGGCCTTTATAGACTGTAATGGATAGATGGATAATTACCAACATTTTTATTATTATTTGTGTCTCTACAAAACAGTCGACCCAGTCAGCGAGTATCCAGAGCTCCGCGCAAAACCAGAGCATCAGTAGGCGATCAATTAGCTAGTGATAGAATCTCGTAAGTATCAAATCAATCACGTGCATTATTATAATTGTTGCTTCTACTTGTTTTACATTCAACACACTAAGACCCACAACCTTTTGTTTATTGTTTCGAGTTTTTTTTTGTACAATATGTTGTGGGTGCTTCTAGGTCGAAAGATAGGATCGGTCTAAGAAAATGAAGGTTAAATCTCACAAATTAGTTCCCTTGATGGTGTTGATCAATTTACACGAAAAACTAAAGTCAATTTAAGAGATAGAGAAAGAAAATAGAATGATCAATTTGTTTACTACAACAAAATTGAAAAAAGTCGTTAAACTAAATTGAAGAGAACGTTGCGATTACCTAAATTGATATTTTTACGCTTTACATAAAGTAAAAGTTCAAATTGTTATGCTAAATGCATTCAGTTTTTTTTTCATTTGTCATCAATAGATCAACAGATTAATAGATCAGAATTTTGTTCGTGGTAGAGCCATGTTGCAACGATATTATAGTTGTAGCACGAATGGATCGGCTTGAATGGGGAAGGACTACGCTGTCACAATACCAGCGTAAAATAGCAGCTAAATGCTGCTGTGTTTCGTATGGTGAGTGTAGAGAATCGGAGACTCTTTTTAATGGAAACGAGGCATTTCATTTTAGTCCTCAGGGGTGACAATGCATTTTGATTCTTATTCGAGGATATATGTAGATGTGTGCTCGCTTTTCACCCTTATTCTATTTAAAAAAATCTGTATGATAAAATCAAATTTGCCAAAGAATAATATAACTTATTTAGTAAACTTAAGACACTTTCTTGTAGAAGTGCAGCTGGTCTTCGAGCATCTTCCTTATCAAGAGTAACAGAAATTCCGTCATCGGGGCAAATCGTTGATACAATACCTGGGTATGTGTTTTATTTATGATGGATCATATATACATATACATAGATGGTTGCCAATATTATTATCAATTTTTGTGGCTTTACAAAATAGTCGACCCAGTCAGCGAGTATCCAGAGCTCCACGCAAAACAAGAGTAACGATAGGCGGTGAGGTAGCTGGTGATGGGATCGCGTGAGTATCAAATATTTAATGTCCATTAGTGCAATCAGATTAGTGCTCTTACAGATAAGACACTCAGATCAACAAAGAGAGGGACACGGAGCGCTGCGAATATTTCTAGAGACTCCGAAAATAAGCCAAAACCATGCTTAACTTATTGTATAAACACGCACACGCACGCATATGAATCTAAAATAATTTTCAACCAACAATATAGTTTTAGGTGCATGTGTTACATCCAGTTGTTAACGAAAGAAAGAACAGAGATAGTGCAGTGCGTGTTCTTTCGTTGTTGGTCTGAGCCAAGACATTTAATTATTTGTAATATTAGTAAATAATGCCCTCGAAACCGAATTTCGGTCACGGCAAATGGTCTCAATTGAAACCACTCACAGCACTGTCCACCACTCACATAGTCCAGTACGACGGAAATCCGACACGACTGGGGAACAATCAAGTACAGGATCAATGGCTTCCCGTCTCGCTGAAGCACTGGGATGAAACACCCACTTCCTGTCTGTAGGCTGTTATTGGGAAGTATGAAACCTGAAAAACTTAATAAAAATTATTTATGTACGATATTTACGATAAACTGGGTAATACAACTATTTCTATGACAGTTCAGTTTATGTCAATTGTCAAAAATTATTGCGTTAGTGTAGTACTCGCTCCTTACAGTTTAAGGTTTTGTCGAAACAATTGTCACTTTTGTAAAAATGCACAAAAACAAATTTAAAATTAAACAGTTTTAATTTCTACTTTTCTAACGCTGTATTTTGCTTGTCGAACCTTTATATATTACATAGCAAAAAAAAATTGATCATTGTTTTCTTGTTATTTTTTCAACTACTAAATTAATTTAGTCAATACAATTAATTTAGTAGTTAAATTTACCTTTATATATTACATAGCAAAAAAATTTCGATTATTGTTTTATGTTTTGTTACTTTTTTCAACTGCTAAATCAATTGTCAATACAATTAATTTAGTAGTTGAAAAAAGAACTCCATATACCATCATATTTTAAATAGCAATTTATATTATAGTGATTGGTATATCAGCCAAATCTACGACCATATTATCTGATGATTGCTTTTGGTGAAAAAACTTAAAAAACAAATTAAGAGGTTCATAATTCCATAAATCGGTGGCATTTTGTTTTTATTTTTATAGAACATGGGGATAAACGAGCGAACAGTCCACTCGATGGTAAGTGGATGTTTTGGCCCATAGACATCTACAACGATTAAGAATCAAAAATACGTTGCCACCGCTGAGGACTAATATAGAATGCCTCGTTTTCAGTAAAAAGGATATCCGGTTCTCTACACTCACCATACGTAGCACAGCAGCGTTGAGCAGCTATTTTACGTTGGTATTCAATGAGAGCGTGGTCCTTCCTCGGTCAAGCCGACCCATTCGGGCTAGAACCACGTAGCTTCGGCATGGCTCAACCACCTATAATAGATATACATAATTTAAATAGAATTGTAATAAAACAATAATATAGATTTTGCATTTTGTTAGGATTTTATGGAAAATTCGATAAACAAAACTAATATGTACAAAAAATAGAGAAAATAACAAAAATTTTAACCTAGTAAAATTTAAAATCTTTTTTTATAGAGAAGCGACTGGAGTTCGATCATCTTCCTTATCAAGAGTAACCGAAATTTCCTCATCGGGAAATATCCTTGATGACGAAGCTGGGTATGTATTTTACATATGAGCGATAATATATACATACATATATAATTATGGATGAATGCCGACATTATTATCAATTTTTGTGGCTTTATAAAACAGTCGACTCAGTCAGCGAGTATCCAGAGCTCCACGCAAAACCAGAGCGTCAGTAGGCGATCAGTTAGTTGGTGATCGGACCGCGTGAGTATCAAATATTTCACGTTTTAGTACAAACTGATTGTTGCTCCTACTTCTATCCAAGCCAAGACGCTCAGACCAATAGGCAATATTTTTCTTTAAAAAAATTGTTGACCCTGCAGGCCATCCCTGGGACATGCCGCTAGTTTTAATATTAAACTGCTCCAAATTCCACTTATGATGACATTTTTCAGCTCTTCGAGCTCATAAACGTCATAATCTTAGGACACCAAGGCTTATTTTTTTATTTTATTTACGAACAAATCAACCGATTTTGATGTGATTTGTTTCAGTTTCACAAAAAGTCTATTACAAAAAAATCACCGAAAGTTTTCATGTTATTTTGAGAAAATACTTTTTAGAGATTTCTTTCGTCAACGATATCTCTCAAACGAATCAACCGATTTCGATGTTGTTCACGGCAATCGACTTCGTTTTTTTGAGGAGAAGAGCTGATTAGATTATAGAATTGATCAAAACAAAGGCGTCGAAGTAATTCCAAGAAAACTACTTTTTGAAAATCAGACACAATATTTATCCCACTGAATGTTGTCAAATGCAGAGTTATTTATTAATTAAACACTGCCGTACTCACCGATCACTAATAAAAAACTTTTTACAAAAGTTTTTTATTAGTGATCGATGGCCATACTGTATCATACGTGATCAACAGCAACATTCAGTTTCGTACATTCGCCCAATAGGGTAGCGGGCGTATTCAGCACTCCCCCATCCCATAATTTCAAAGAAAAAATAGGATTAGCTAATGGGAAATTATTATGTACATTTTAAACATTACAATAATAATAAATAAATGAAACATAAAATCAAATAAGGCTTATAATAAAAATTCTAAGTTAACGAACTTTTTTGTAGAGAAGCCTCAAGTCCTCGTGCATCTGCCCTATCAAGAGTATCTAAAATTCCGTCATCGGAGGATATCTTAGACGAGTCTGGGTATGTATTTTGCATAAACATTTAAATAATTTTCATCGCTGTGTCTCCTTCATTATTAGATATTTCTGTATGGATCGTTCAATATAGTCTTTTATTAAGTTGCTTTTAATTATTATCAGGTCAACGCTTTATCAATAATTTTATGCGATCAAGCTACCACTACGTCGCAGTTATATAATGGTAATAGTAGAGGGGTTCGGCTCTACTTAAGTAGGACGCTCTCGTAAAATACCAATGTACAATAGCAACATAATGTGAAATTAGAACCCTTTTATTTGATTGTCAATCGAGGAATAATGTTTGTAGGCCACAGCAACTATTTAAAAATGTCAAATATTTCACAATTAAATACATCACAGCCAAATATAATAGGTATATCAAAGGAATTTTTTGTCGAGTGATTTGAGAAGTTACTGAAAACGATGAATGTTTTGATAGTGATATAAACCTCATGGTATTGTGTCCTCTTTGCTGCCATAATATATTATCATTGTCATTTGTCTGCTGGATTAAATTACAGTCAAAATCTCTAAAAATGTGCTTAATGCACCTGCATTTTGATTCTTAAGTGGAGATAGATGTAGATGTCAATGGGCCACAGCATCCACTTACCATCAGGAGGACTATATGCTCTTTTGTCATATTTATTTATAAAAAATTCCAACGTCGACTTACTTCATGTTACATCAAGACGTCGCTTAATGTAATAGCGACTCGTACTACACTAGGCACATAGGTAAGATAATATGTAAAAACAAAATAAAAATGACAGAAATGGTAAGGTAAAATCAATCAATAATTATAGAAAGAATCCCTCATATCAGGGAAAGCTACGTTTAGCAGTGCACTTTTGTACATGGATGATGGATGATGATAATTATCAATTTTTGGCTTTACAATACAGTCGGCCCAGTCAACGAGTATCCAGAGCTCCACGCAAAACCAGAGCATCAGTAGGCGATCAATTAGCTGATGACAGGATAACGTAAGTATCAAACATTTCATGTTAATCAGTACAAAGTGATTGTTTCTTCTTCTTTTACAGCTAAGACTCAGACCAACAGAGAAAAATAGTAATAGCACTCCGTACATTTTTAATAAAGCCGAAATCAAGCCATAACCATGTTCTTATTGTAAGAACGTGTTCTACTCGCACAAACATGAATTTCGAATAATTTGTAATCAACAATATATTTAGATATACATGTGTGTGGTATATGCAGTGGACGTATACTGGCTGTTAAAGAAATTAAAAACAAAGAAAGAAAAAGCAGTGAGTGCATGTCAAAAACTAGAACATGATGAAGTAAACATATCACTTGCAATGAAACCAGCGCTCTGTCTCTTTTTTGTTGGTCTCTGAGCCTATTGGATTATTTAATAATTTATAATAACTATTTTGTTAGTATCGCAGTCGCACACTGCACAGATTTTGGCATTTTATTTTATTCAAAGTGGAACAGCTAACAACTAAATTATATATAATTACATATAGGTAGTACAGTAACATAATATACGCAATAATGCAGCCCACAGTGCTGTTCACAGATTACCTCTTGATAATAGATAATTAAGACGCTAGGAGACCTGCAGCTGTATAGAAGGTATTATACAAATGTCAAAGTATGGTCAACAGTGATATTATAATGTGACTAAGATAACAAAATTATTATGTGAAAAGTGTCTTGTATAAAAGACCACGAAACTTTTCCTTTGAGCATGTAAAAATGTCTATATGCTCGAAGGTCTCATTATATGTGGCAACCATACGTCGAATTGGTGAACGAATACCGGTATTGGATCGACAGGTACTTACGGCAAAGAGTTTACCCGCACGCACCCGTCGTCTATGGACAGTTCTGGGAACTACATAACATAACAGATTGTTAAACTCAATACAGTCAAATTTGCATCTAACTATATGAAACAATGTCATAGACTCCAATTGCTTACGTCTAGAGTGGAGAGTTAGAAGTCTGTATCTACTGAGTGACTGGTCATACGGTAAATGAGATTTATGACATCTATAATGCATTGCACGTAGGAACCGGCGTTGAACATTTTCAATTTTGTGTATATATTTATTATATTATAATAAGGATTCCAAATGGGCACAGCATATTCAAGTTGAGAGCGAACTAGGGTTTTATATAAACAAAGATATGAAGAGGTCCGTTTGAAGTCGCGAGTTGATCTCATAATAAATCCTTAAAGTTTGTATGCTTTGTTTACAATTTGTTCAATATGTAAGTCTAAGCGCAGTTTTGAATCAAACAGTATACCGAGATCTCGCATAGACTCCACTTTAGCTAAAGGAACATTACACAGTGAGTACGAAAATGTAATAATATTCTTGTTTACGTAAAACGGAGATATTTACACTTCGGAATGCTTATCTGAAGCTTACTTTTGTAACAATAGTCTGTAAGTCTTAGTCCAAAAAAATCGCTCTATAATAGTCTGTGACCACCATTCAGGTTAATTTGGGTTATTTTACTCCTAAATTCCATAACAGCAGTTTCAAGAATGTTTTACATTCCTTTTTTTTTGGCAAGAATCTTTGAGGCTGTTCGTATCACAACTCTTTACTGGCGAAGCCGACAACGTCGCGCCTACCAAGCTTGATCACTTTTTCACATTTATATTTTAGTTAGATATTATTAATTTATGATAAAGGTTTTATAATCTAAATAACCACACTTTTCAAGGATTTTTCTTGCGTTTACGCTTCATTTTCTACTTTTTTTTATTTAAGCTATGAAAAATATATTTGGACATTTAATTTTTTCAATGACCGTACTTTGAACTAACCGAACCAAACTATCATATAACTTTGTCGACATCGAATATCGATGATACTAGTTTTTAGATTAATCCATTTGTACATGCCTATTCATCGGTGGATTAGAATTATTTCAATTAACAATAAAAAAACTAAGACGTACAGATAAAATTAAATGAGCCAAATAAGAAAAATTCTAATCCAGTAAAGTTAAAAATTTGTTTTAGTAGAGAAACAGTTGTTCCTCGAGCATCTTCCCTACCGAGAGTTTCCGAAATTCAGTCATCTGGGGAAATCCTTGCTGAAGAGCCTGGGTATGTAATTTAACCTCTCAAACACCAAGCGGCGACCGCTTCGATATTCCGTCAAAATTCAAGACATTAAATTTGACCGCACCCACCCACACCACTTTAACCCATAAAAACTTATATAGACTACTTTTCTATGAAGAAGTTTAGTATCATAGAATCAATATGAAATTTTCTATTTTCTAGTGTAATAAAAAGTTAGTTATCCTAAAGATATTTATTTATAATCTGCGTTAATTTCGTACGCCATTTTCGCGTGAATGTTATTGTTGATTTTTTTGATTTTTGTAGTGTTCTATTAGTTTTTAAGTATAGTGTTTTATTATAAAATTATAATAAATGTTTTTTGTAAATATAATTTATCTTTTTACGTAAATAATTTCGAGTAATATATATTGAAATAATTGTGATTTTCACGCTGCCGACATTCGCTTGACATGTTTTTTTTTTTGTTAAAAAATATACAATAAAATCTTTTTGTAATGAAGTAAAACCTGACTTTTGTTTAAACCACAGGATAGAGAATTTCGTATAGATTTTATAATGCTAAGCTTCATAAAAAAAGTATAAAAAAGTAGTCTCTAAATATAAGTTTTAATGGTTTTAAGTGATGTGGGTGGGTGCGGTCGTATGCGATCGCTCGGATTTGCCGGGCGCGTGCGACTGCATGGGATTTTTATGGGGATTGAAGGGTTAAATAAGCTTTTAAATCATTTTCATTACTATATCTTGTTGATCATTCGATTTTTCTTTCTTTATTTGTTTAATATAACCTTCTATCAATTTGTTTTCAATTATTATTAGACCATCATTTTACCAATATTTAGTAGAGCTACGGCACGAACACGGCTGTGGCACGAACACGGCTGTGGCACGAGAAGTTCGGTTTGACTGGTGGTTAGGCCCTTATTGCAAAAAATTCTGGCAACCTGTATGATAATTATGTAACATTATAAGAAAACACCAACTTTTGTCTTCATCGACCTGTCTAGGACATTTATTTAGTTTTCTAAAATACACTATAAAATAAATTGTAAGATATACAGCTACCTGTCAAACTTGCTGCCTATTAAACGTATTTTCCGATACTAATATGGAAACCAGATGAACTGTGTTAAATGATCGATCGAACGTTGGAGTCCGGGTCGAGACAGGGTGAATCAAGCTCTCCTGAACTCTTTAACCGCTACATGAACGGGTTAATAGAGGCGCTCAACAGCATGTATGTTGGATGTTGATGAAGTATGGGTGGGTACAAAATTTATGCAGGTGACATGTTTCTGCTAAGAGCCTGTCTGTGTTCTAAGAAAAATTTTTAGTTAATCATTCATCATCGTCTTCTGTCTTAATCACAAGACCACAGCAAAATATAAGCCTTTCACCAATTCTGCCTACAAAACACAGTTCTAAGTCATGAGATCGACTACCTGCATTTTATAGGGGGCAAACGAGCATACGGCTCATCTGATGGTAAGTGATTACCGCCGCCCATGAGCAACTGCAACACCAGGGGAATTGCAGATGCGTTGCCGGCCTCTTGAAAAGGAGTAGGCTCTTTTCTTGAAGCTCCCTAAGTCGTATCGGTGCGGAAAAATCGCTGATAGGAGTCGATTCCACAAGGAAGTTGTGCGAGGAAGAAAACTTATTTTAAATCGCACAGTGGTGGACCGCTAGTCATGTAGATGGTATGGTATCGCGAGTTTTGTCGCGATGTGCGATGGTGAAATTGTGCGGCTGAAATGAGTCCGAACAATTCCTCAGAGCACTCTCCGTGGTAAATGCCTTTTGTCAGGACGTCGTCGGTCAATCTAATGGTTGCTCACATTATACTGGAAACATAAGTAAATAATACGTAGAAACATTGCCATTTATTGTTTCGGTAAATTCCTAACATTCGATGTGTAGTGGTTTTGTAAGAGAATCTTCCACCCCAAGTCATATCCTTTACTGTCTTAATAAGTAAATAAGTGTCATAAGAGTCGACGGAATGAGACTGAAACATGCAGCTTACTCACTTGATTAAATCCCTGTTATAAGTCAGTCTATTAAGAAGGGCCATGTTTTTGAGGGACTTTTATAGATGGACGATTGCAAAATTTAAAATTTGTGTGTCTTTACAAAACAGCCGACCCAGTCAGCGAATATCCACAGCTCCACGCAAAACCAGAGCGTCAGTAGGCGATCAGTTAGCTGATGATAGGACCGCGTGAGTATTGAATATTTCATATTCATTAGTACAAACCGATTGTTTCTTCTTCTTTTTTACAGGCTCTTAATTAGACATGGGGCTGCGTAAATGTAAAGCCAAACCAACCAAAAAAATCCATACTTATTGCTAGAACACTCACTCGCAAACATACGAATCTAAAATTTTTCAGCCATAAATATGGTTTTAAGTATATGTATACACATACGCACGTTCAGCTTTAAAGGCTGTGGCAAATAGAAGGAACTAAGATGAGTGCTTGAGTGGTTGTCAAGAAGTGACACGAACATGGTTTCCGCATCACTTATAGCCAGCGCTCTATCATTTGTCTGTCTGTTGGTCTTCGCCAAGAAATTCAATCCTTTACAATAGTAATAATAATTTGGTCACGGCAAACAGTCTCGACCGCGACTAGTCATCTGAGCAGTTCAGGATTATAGTGCAAAGTGTGTACGCAAAGACAGCATTCTCTATTCCCTCGCACTTATTGTCCCGGGAAATAGAGTAAATGGGGCCTTGCACTCTATTGTGAAGAGTCAAAATGTGTCGAAAAAGGCACGTATGGTAATTCACAATGCTGTGTTGGTCCCTACTTTAACGTATGGTAGTGAAAGTTGGGTGTGGCAGAAGAAGCACGAGAGTAGAATAAACGCAGAAGAAATGCGGTCGTTAAGGAGTATGTTAGGGCTGAATCTGAATGACAGGGTAAGAAATTGTGTAATAAGAGAAGAGTGTGGTTTGCAAGATGATGTTGTGACCAGGATTGAGAAAGGAATGCTTCGGTGGTTTGGTCATGTGGAAAGAATGAATGAGGAAAGAGTGACAAAGAAAATTTATGGTGCAGAAGTGAATGGCAGAGTCGGAAAGGGACGTCGTAGGTGAAAATTTATCGACCAAATTGGCGATTTATTGAAAGCGGGCCAAATTAGGAGTACCCTTAACCGACGAGCATGTATGCGTAGGTGTATGGATGTGAAGGAGGCAAGAGAGGTGGGTCAGGATCGTGCCAAATGGAAGTCTGTAGTCTCTGCCTACCCCTCTGGGTGACAGGCGTGAGTGTTTATGTTATGTTATGTCATTGTCCCATGGGACGGAAGTCCGACTCGACCGAAGAGAGACCTGGCGCAAGACCAATAGATTTACGTAGTTTCCGAGACACGAAGGTGTAACTAACTGACAAGAACTAATTTTCGACTGCAATAGAATTTTTTTTATTATACTTCACATCTACAGTATCACAACAATTTCTATGAATTTTAAAACAATTTCAATTAACAAAAACTATTTTGTACTCTCGCACTCTACTCCGAGTTGACACAAACTCGACAACTCTGTATATGTCAAAAGATGTTGGTCTTAATTCGAAAAGTAAATTAATAATTCGTCACAGTTTTATACTAATATAAAACAAATTTTAAATAAGGTTATCCTGCGGAAGATATACGAATTAAAGTTTAAATTCCATACATTTGGCAGGAAATAGGATTAAAAATTCACGAAGAGTGTAACGCCGCGGCTAAAGGACTTCTTTCGTGTCAAATACTACTTTAAGCCTTAATTACAACTAATACCGTAGAAGTTTAGTGTCGCTACTTGGCGATCTAATATAACCTAGATGAAAATTATACCACCAGCCAAATTGTGAACGTTATTCATTGTTCGATATATTCCTTACTAATATTATAGATAGATAAAGGTTGTTTAATAAATTCAATAATCCTTATTAAAAAGTGAATCGACCATGAAATCGACTTACGTAAAATTAAAAATTTTGTTCAACGTTAAAAAAAATTTTCAACCGACTTCAATATAAATAAAGTGAGAACATAATCAATGTAGTCGAAGTCAATTAAATACGCATTATTAAGGATACCAAAATAACTACCGGTCAGAGTTTCATCAATTTTATATGAACCCAGACGAGGAGTACCAGCTTTAAAATACAAAAAGAATCATTTAAATCGGTTCACCCAGAAAAAAGATGTGAGGTAACTAACACACATTAAATAAACTTACAATTGAATTGTTTATCTCCTACCTTTTGAAGTCGGTTATTTATTTATTTTTGATGTGACAATATCTAATAAATCGATGAACGCCGGCTGCACGCATGAAAAAGGATGACTCATAGTAACGTTACGCTCATTGTAACTTTACGATCGGAGTGAGAGGGCTGCACGAGCGAGCGAAAGGCACGATCGGCACGATTAGCTTGCGCCACATCTATCTCTTTTCCACTAAGTATGCAATCATTTCACAAATATTTTGTTATGACGTTGTCACGTTAAACTATCGTGCGTAAACCAACTTTACAGATAACCAATTTTTTTATTTTATAGTTAATAAAGGGGAGTTGTCAAGACAAATTGTACTCTATTGTTGTGGAAATAATTTTATTCTTTTAAGTTCCTTAAAGTGGCTTTCACTTTATATTAAAAGTTTAGTTTCAACCCTTTGAGTGGACTTAGGTATAGCACAATCTCAAGGTACAAAGAACAATGTCATCCAAATACTAGTTTTACATCGTCTACATTAAAAACTTCATACACTTTTTTCCATCGTGAGGGTTAGAGAGGGAATCCCCTTCTGAAGTATAACCTATTTAATGAAAAAAGTATCAATAAAATCTGTTTAAAATGTTTTGGCGAAGATATTGCACATAATACGTAACAAAAACATACAGTTGAATTTATAACCTACTCATTTTTTGCCTTAGGTTAGATTTTAGAATTTATTTTAATTATTATGTAAATTATATCACCAGCGCTAAGCGGCGATCGACCGTACCTCGTCGTTCCAT